TAACACATATAATCTTCAATGTGTGAATTAAATATAGTTTAGTCAATATATAAGCTACAAAAGTTATTCAGTCAAGAGCGTGAGAGAGTGATTTTCTCTTTTTCCTTTGTTGTTTAAGTACACAAACAGCAAGTATATTAGGCTGCTGTCACTTTAAGACCTAATGCATGGATCTAATATACTGACATGTCTGATTTAACCAACCTTGTTTATGTGAATACTCACCATGATATACATTTATTCATCTAACAGATGCTTTTATCCAACACTGCTTACAAGAAAAGAACAAAAGTGATTTGTCAAGGAGACACTTCTTGCACCTTACACCCACTGAAGACACCTAACAGCCATCAAAATGGGAATTCCACTCATGCTTGTTTCTCACAAGGAGTTTCAGTGGCTGCCAGTTTCCAGCAGGAAGCATCTGTGGTTGCTGGTTTCCAAAAAGCATCACCCGTGGTCACCTGTTTCCCAAATGCAGCACCTGTGCCTGCCCATTTACTACAGGGAGTACCCATACCCACAGGGAGCACCGGTAGCAGCCCCTTCTCAACAAGGAACACACATGTGTGCATTGAAACAGAACCTTATCTTAGAAGGGGGAGTTCTTTCTTACAGAGAAAACCCTTGCCTGCTGAATTCCCACAGGGAGCAACCATGTTTTCTGGTGTCCCTCAGGTTTCTCACCTTCGCCAGTTTATTCCAACCAGTGGCAGCTCCTTCCACACTGCTATCACCCATTGACAGTGATTACGTGTGCATTGAAATAGAGCCTGATCTTAGAAGGTGAATATCTTTCTTACATGGAACACGTGTGCCTGCCCATTTTCCACACAGAACACGTGGCCTCGATATCCGATTCTTATCGGATTCCCAAAGGGAACATCCATGCCTGCCGGTTTCCCATAGGGAACACTAGTGCCAGTCAGTCTCCCTCTGCAAGCACCTATGCCCGTCCGTTTCCCATAGGAAACAACAGTGCCCACCAGTATCCCTAAAGGAGCACCTGTGTCCATATGCATTTTAAATAGAAAGTGGCCATTGCCCCCGGTTTCCCAAAAAGAGCACCTGTGTCTGCTTCCTCTGTACAGGAATCACCCATGGACACCTGTGTCACATAGGGAGCACCTTCTCCCATGTGGCCACCAGTTTCCCCCAGGGAGAGATTCGCCACAGGGAACAGATGTTTTCATTGTCCCCTTTACCCAACTGGGGGTGCCTGGAATCACCATGGCTGTCAGTTTCACACAGTGAGTGCCTCTGGGTGAAGGAAGCACCTATGACTGCCCTTTCTCTGCAAGGAGCACCCATGCCCAATCATTCCCTACATGGAGCATCCATGCTCAACAGTTTTTCACAGGGAGGACCTGTAGCCAACCCTTGCCCACAGGAAGCTCACTTGCCTGATCTGTACCCAGGAGCATCTGTGCCCACTGGTTTCCAACAGGGAGCACCTGTGGCTGATCCATTCCTGCAAGGAGTACCTGTGCTTGATCCTTGCGCACAAAAAGCACCTGTGCCTGGAATTCCCCAAAGGGAAAACCCATGCCTGCTGGTTTACAACCAGGAGCACCTTTAGTCAACCCTTCCTCATGAAGAGCATCTGTGGCTACAACATCTCTACATAGACCACCTGTGCCCACCCATTTTACAAAGGAAGTGTCCTTGATCAACTTTTTTAAGGGGAGGACCTGTGGCTAACCCATACCCAAAAAAAGCCTCTTGTCCCCAATTGTTCCCCAGAACATCACCCATGCCCACTGATTTTCAATAGGGAGAAACTATGGCCAACCCTTCCCACAAGGGGCATGAGGGCCTGATATTTTTCATAGGGAGCGCTACTGGCAGCCCCTTCCCAACGAAGAGCACCCATGGGTGCTCTCAAAATAGGACTTGTGAGAATCCCTCACAGTGAGCACATGTGCTTGCTCGTCTCTCAAAAAAAAGGGCAAATATGACATTCATTGACAGATAAAATAAGTCGCCATTTGGATTTAAATGATCAAATACTGAAGAGTCTAAGATTGGATTATTTTTGCAGTGATTAATATGTTTCTGGCATGTTACTGTATATGTTTTGCAACAATTATTTTAACCCTAACTTATGCAGTGCATAGCTTTTAATTTCTTAAGCATTTACATATTCCAGGATGACAATACCAAGATTTATTGGGCCCAAATTGTGAAATAGTAGTTCAGTGAACATGTGGAATCATTTACATGTATGAATTGGCCACCACAGATTCCTGACCTTAACCTTATTGAAAGACTTAGGGATGTGCTGGAGTCAACTTTACAGAGTGGTTTAGGCTCTTCCATTGTCAATACAAGATCTTGGCCAAATATTAATGCAACTCTTGATAGAAATAAATGTTGTGACTTTGCATAACATTGTTGAAGAAATGCCACAACAAAAGCATGATGTTCTCAAAGCTAAAGGTTGTCCAACAAAATATTAAAGTATGCAACTTTTTTGGATGGGCAGTGTTAAAGGGATAGTTCACCCAAAACTGAAAATTAGCCCATAATTTACTCACCCTCAAGCCATCCTAGGTGTATATGACTTTCTTCTTTCAGACAAATCCAATCAGAGATTTATTTAAAAATTGTCCTGGCTCTTCCAAGCTTTATAATGGCAGTGGGCGGTTGTTTCTGTTCAACAGTCCAAAAGAAGTCCAATAAAGCACATCCATCTGTAATAAAAAGAGCCTCACACGGCTCCAGGGGTGAATAAAGGCCTCCTGCAGCGAATCGATGCGTTTTTGTAAGAAACATCCATATTTAAAACATTATGACCACTTTTCTGTAGCTTACGCTAACTGTTGTACGCTGAAGCCATTCCAGGCGGATGACGTAGGACATAGGTGTAGTGTAAGGTCCAGTGAGAATATTGCAATTCCTCGTTTTGTACTTCTAATTCGTGACCAGTGTTTTGTTCTTTCCTCTATGCTTCCGTGTTCGTCACTTCTCACCGGCGCATGCGCTACGCATACGTCCTTCTTCATCCGCCCGGAAAGAACGCATGTATGACAGTTAGCGGAAGCTAGAGATTACGGTTTATAAAATTTTAAATACGGATGTTTTTCTTACAAAAACGCATCGATTCACTACAGGAGGCCTTTATTCACACCGCTGAGCCGTGTGAGGCACTTTTTATTACGGATGGATGTGCTTTATTGGACTTCTTTTTGGACTGTTGAACAGAAACAACCGCACACACAGCTTGGAAGAGCCAGGACAATTTTTAATATAACTCCGGTTGAATTCGTCTGAAAGAAGAAAGTCATATACACCTAGGATGGCTTGATGGTGAATAAATCATGTGCTAGTTTTCATTTTTGGGTGAACTATCCCTTTAAATCGGCTCCAGCACATCCCTAAGACTTTCAGTGAGGTTAAGGTCAGGACACTGGTAGCTAGTCTTTTGAGCCTGATGAACCTAAGTATTTTCATCCTTGAATATGTACATGGGTAGAGTTAAAAGGATTGTTACCAAACATACAACATGCCAGAATCATATCAGTCACTGCAATAATGGTTTAATCGTTATATTATCTTAAGTATTTGCTCTTTTAAATCCAGATGGCAACAATGATGCAGATATAAACTGCACATAGAAATGAAGGGTGAGAATATGAAACATCAAGAGTGCAAAATGCACTCACACACACATACACTTCTTCTGTTCGACTAGGTGACCTTGGCCTCAGATCAGATTCTGTTTTCTCTAATCTGCACACAATAATAATAAACAGAAATGTGTCTATTCCTCTCACTGGATGCCACAGATCCATGTGCTACATTTACTTTCATGATCCAGTATTGTTTTAGATGTTCTGAAATTTGATTCCAAACCCAGTTGATAGATTACTCACTGGTGCTGTCTGCTGAAGACTGTGGTTTCTCCTCGACTCCAAACATACATAGCCAAAATTAGTTCACAGGAAACCCCTCTGGTCATTTGGGACAAGTCTAATCAGAAGATGATGAATACATCTGGTCAAAATATATGTTTAATGACGTCAGCCTCAAACATTTTCCATCCCTTTCCGACTCTCTCTCACACACACACAAAGAACTTCATGACTCATTTCCCATGTAGCAGCAGTGAGGTCTGTTGGACTGGTGTTGGTTAAGGATGAGATAAGCTCTGCTGGAGTTTAAGACAGCTGGAATGATGTATTCTCAATGACATCATGTGCCTGGCATCTCCAAAATAATCCCAGAAACTGGATCTGATTAAAATAAAACCTCACCTGCATATTTCTCTGTACCTCCTCAGCACACACTGCAGTCTGCTTTTGTGTTTGAAAAAGGTTAAAGGTCGTTTCCCAGTCTAGAAGTGCCTGAATGGTTGGAACTACCTGATTGACCTTAGAAGACAAACTGATCTTCATTTTACAACTTTTATGAATCTATATTTATCTTTTTAGGCTGTACTAATGTGTTGAAATTCACTCCTTAAGGCTCATATTTAGTAAATATTACAGTGCAGATTAGCATCTATGTTCACTAGTATTTATTGAATCATTTTTAGCATTATTTATTATTCTTTATTTTTGATATACAAATGATGAATTGATAATAGTCAGTTTAAATTATTACATGCACAACCATGGACTATTCAGTTTCTAATGAATAGGCTAGTCATCAATAAACCTTAAATAGATAAGTAGCGAGTACTAATTTATGGTTGCTCTTTTTATTTTGCTTCTTTATTAAGTGCTTTATATTGATTGTAGTTATTTTAAAATTATTCATTTTAGTTTTACATTTATGATTTAATCATTTTATTTTGATCAACCCCAGTTTGAGAGATATACACACACACACATTGTGAAAATACTTTTAAAATTAAACTTTTGTGTTCTACACACACACACACACAAAATACCAGCATACATGTTTGGAAAACTTCAGGGCAAGAAATTTTGCAATTTGTTTTTAGGGTAAACTATTCCTTTAATAAACTCAAAAAATGAAATCCAAACCCCTATTTCCTGTCTGATCTCAGCTAGAGTCCTGACAATGAGAGTACTTAGGTGTTAGTCTTTGGCATGGTATTAGAAATGTCATTTCAGATTTATCTACAGGAAAGAAACTCATCTAAATCTATAATTGACAACTACATTGCATAAATGCTCACTTCCTGTGTTGAAAAAAAAAAAAAGAAAATATCCCTTAGTGCATTGCTCGGTGGAAATAAACCTCAACAGTTTTAAAGTCCTAAGTGAAACTGGTCAACCTTTGACCTTCATTTACACACCGAAGGTTGTCATTAGTGCTGATCTAGTACAAGTTTTTCCATTTCCAATGACATTTGATGAAAATGGGGCACTGATCTTAAATTAGCACTCTAATTCCTCAGACACACAGTATCAGCTGTTGTGTTTTGGGAATAGAGGTTAATTTTACAATTCGAATAGTCTCAATCAGCATGTGATGCAATGTGGAAGCTGAGAGCTTTTGAGACGACCCAGCTGCCCAAAGACATCCACACACAACCCATGCCGATAGAACTACAGCCGCACAATCTCGTCAGACTCACAGTGACGCTAACAGTGAGAGTATAGATGACTTTTATTAAGGAGTGTCTGTTACGATCTGCGCAATTTATTAGCCATTAGCTCCGTTCAAACCTGTGCTCCAAACCCAGACTCGACAAATCTAGATTTCGCTCACATTAAGCGGGGAACACAGCAGATCCAGTCCAGTTGAGTCTAGATTTGATCAGAGTGAATGTGGGCGACAGGTTCTGATCCAGCCCATCCATGAAGAGATTACTATAGCGCTTGAGTGCATGTATGTAAACCGCTGCAACCTGTTTAGTTTTGTTTCAAAGAACTTGTTCAAAGAAAAGAGCAGAAAAAGTTTTACACATGCAAAAAATTAACAAATGAATTGCAGCTATAAAAACAAACAACAATAAACAATAATACATAAAAAGATCATTGAGTATTAACATTAGGGAGGCAAAGTATCCAGTTGTGTCCCTTCTTCAGGTGAAGCAGCTCCCTCAGAGGGTTTGGCACAAGAGTCCGATGAGCTTGAGAGAGAGAGAGAGAGAGAGAGAGAGAGAATATGCTCTACACATCCTTCTCTACTCGCCTCTGCCGCACTGAAAGAGAAAACAGAGACGTGTTAGTAATCGGATACATTGACAGCATTCATGCTGTGAGCTACGAGAACCTTTAATGAGATCTGCTCATTTAAGACGCTTAATAAATTAGTGTTAGTCAATCCTTCATCCTGTTACAAAGCTACACACAATTTCTAAACTCAGCCAAAACTTGTTCCGTATCATGAACAATCAGGTCCCCCTGCACAAAAGCGTCTTCACCCATTGTAGCAGGTAAGCTATCAGTTTCTTGTTACAGTACAACAGCACTACTTTAGACTACTGTATTATACAACCGCTGATATCAAAAGTTTATTCTTTCACATTTTATTATTTGCATGTTCTTAATGATCAAAGGTATTATGAGATTTAATAAGCTAGCTGGCTAACAGCACAGCAGGATGCCGAGCAGTTAAAGAGTAATATTTAATTTCTCAAAGTATTGCTTTATTTACTATTACAAGCCACATATCATTTAAAAGACTTTATTTATAGTTGCATTTACATTAGATTTTATTTTTAATAGTTCACCCAAAATGAAAAATGTGTCATCGTTCACGAACCCTCATGTCATTTTAAACATGTATAACTTTTTTCTGTGGAAGATATTTTGAAGAATGTTGGTAGTACAATAGTACGAGGGTAGAAGAACAGTTTTTATGCCTGTAAACTTTCTTTGAATGGCCAAAAAAATTGAAGACTGAGACATTTCTCAAAATATCTTCTTTTGTGTTCCACAGAAGAAAGTAATGACATTAGGTTGAGTAAATGATGACAGAATTTTATTTTTTGGGGGGGGTTGGGCATTATTTTACTAGGTTGATAGGTGGCCTAATAATTAGATATGCCAAAACTGCCAGGTTAGTTTAAGATGCTTAGAAGCAAGTAAACTAGATATTCACAACCAGTTCTGCTTAGCTGTCTATGAAATAATCAGTTGAATAAATAGGTGGAGATTTTATTCAGAACCAGTTTCATGTATTCAAACAAAAAATACGGGAACCAAATGACCTTCTTGTAGGTTTTCTAATCAGGCACTGAACTAAGTACAAATTAAAAGACCTTTCAGCCAATGTAATTGCTAGGCAGACCCATTTGTAAATGACAACAGCCTATCTAGTCTGTCTCAGATCCAGTTAGGTTTTTAATCAGCCTGAAAGGAAACAACGATTTATTTGAAGGTACTAGGTTGATAGGTGGCCTAATAATTAGATATGCCAAAACTGCCAGGTTAGTTTCAGATGCTTAGAAGCAAGTAAACTAGATATTCACAACCAGTTCTGCTTAGCTGTCTATGAAATAATCAGTTGAATAAATAGGTGGAGATTTTATTCAGAACCAGTTTCATGTATTCAAACAAAAAATACGGGAACCAAATGACCTTCGGTTTTGTTATCAGGCATCACTCATGCCAGTGTCAACAAAACTCCATATTAAAATACTCTGACAGAGTTTGTTGAAATACTTATTCACCAGTGCAGCAAATAGAAGTGACTTATCTTTGTTTTTAGTGAGTCGCAAACATTCAGAACAAATAATGCTAATGAGTAGGATTTTAGAAAATCAAACACGTACAACTTTCAACTAACTGTGGCATTAGTTATTTTGTGATTTCCAATCCCTATTAGTAAGCTATTCAGTTTTGGACAGAAATTCAACACATATTTTATGCTAATTTCTACAGGGTTCTTTCTAAGAAGGCAGTTCTTCGACAGAACAAGCAGCAAAGTGGACCAGACGTTATGCCTAAAGTCAAAAGACCGCCTACATAAGACTACTGCTCTGTTAGTGTTTGGTTAATCAGTGTTGACTAGTTCACTTCTATATAAGGCCTTGAATTGAATTCACAACAGTGAGGATCTGATAACTTATCACACCCTGTATAACCTGTCCAATGTACAGGTGAGTCAAACAAACAGTCTTTAACAAAACTCACACATCATCTTTCAAAATGTGATGTTAGCAGTCATGCCAAAGGTTAAATGTCAAAGCCATGCTCTCACACATGATACCTAAAGACACTGGAATAGAGCTTGACGCATGACATCATCTCACACGTGTAAAGCACATGGTGTGCGCGCTGTAACATAAGACCGGCAAACTGGAGACAGATCCAGACTTCATTGAAGAAACACAGAAAGGAAAAGAAAGTCCCATGAATAAAATACCATTTTAAAAGCAGTTTTTTTCTTCTTTTTTTCTGAAGTCCACTTATAAGTCAAGTTTTCTTGCACCAAGGTTTCTATTTTTACCTTCCATCTGAACCTAATAATATAAGTGGTTTTTGCTACTGTACCTTTATAAGCACTGTTATGACTGACTAACAGCATGTGACATGTACCTGTGAAATAAAGTTAATGAGTACAGAATAGGACTTGATATGTAAATTACGGATGTGCATCAGTAATCAACTAGAGTCTCACCCGTACACACTGTAGCTAAATTCAGTTGTCAGTTCACATTTTAGTGCTTAATCCTGTTCTGTACATACACAGTTCAGTAATTTAGGGGAGTGACAACCGCATTCTAAACCTATTAATGCCTAAAAATTAGTTGTTAATGACGCATTTCCATGCGTATCGCAGTTGTGTCTTTCTTTTGTACACGTGGTACAACAAAATCATAGGAAATGAGAAAAGAAATTCACAGGGTATGTCTTGACTCCTTAGCCAGGTTGCCAGGTCTCGCTAGAAAAAAACTGCAAAAAAGAACAAGCCCATAACAAACAAAAATCCAAATGCTTAATCTTGTAAATAACCTGCACCTGCATACTTTAACTCCATAAACTGGATTGCTTTATGTGGCAAGCTCAAACTACAAGTCCAAAGACGCATATAACAATTAGACATGGCAACCCAAAATGAGTGTGCTCTGATAAGCAGCCTTCCAAACATAACAAAACAAAATGTATTTTTGTCAATTGTGGTCTGGTTAAAATGCCGAACATAATGAGTCTTTCGTCGCTGTAATATTACTCTGATCAAAAATAGCGAATACCAAACATGCGAGAAGGCAAAAGCGTTGCTATGCTTACCACAGTGTCAATCATCTGGTGTACATTCTATTCCGTACACACAAAAAAAAGATAATTTAGGGAATTCATTCCCATATTTAAATGAGGTTGTTACTCCTGAAAATGTAGTGTGTACATGACCACTGTTTTCGATCCTAGGGCCACTTTACCATGGCAACAACAGATTCTGTGGGTGGAGTTCTAAGGAAGCAGCATTGCTTTACAGAATGGCAAATGACCAATAATGAATCTGTGTAAGCCTGTTTCTGTCAATCAGAGCATATGTGCATTAGGTCGTGTTCTCACCCAGGTCATTGTTTTTTGTGATAGCGGCAGCGGCACGGGATCTGGGACCCTGCTGGGTGAACTGGTACCCAAACTTTACCATGCTTGTATTCTGCTCCAGCATCTTAGCGATCTCCATCTCTGTTGACGTACCGAGCTGCTGCCGCTGAGAGCAGAGAAGACACACATCAGAAACATCTCTTTTACACATGCCCACACACACACAGACATTTTACAATGAGTAACATTTGAATTCAATTTGCATAGTGCTTGAAAATAGCAGGGTTTTAACACATTTCAACAAATTTGGTATCCCAGACCTGTGCTCAAATATATGTACAGATGCAGCATAATTCATTATACCTACATTGATCATATAACTGAATTAAGACCCATTATGCAGTGGCCGACTAACACAAGCATTAATCTTTTTGTATTATTTATTCTAATTGCAGTGTAAATGCATTCATGCTACCTCTGAACAGTCTGTGTAAATATACCTAAATGCCACTTCAGATGCAGCTTTTGAAAACAATGTTATGACCACACTGTAGCCTAAAAGTTTGTGTAATAAATTCTATGTTGAATCAAAATATTTCTGTATTTTTGTAATTTTGTAATGTCATTTAACACAAGTTACTTTATCTTTTGGGGGGTAATTTCTCAGCCCAAATTGATGTGCATTTACTTTGTGATTAATTTGATTTATTAATCAGTACATTATGTAATTAATTAAGATTAAAATTTTAATCGCTTGAGAGCCGTAGTAATTACATATTAAGGTAACGCTATATAATTTTGCTGGCATTTAAACCCAATACATTTTTTTAATGCATGACAAATATCTGGCATTGGTTCAAAAAGTTCTGCATTATGTAAAAAGGCAGATTCAAAACAATTATACACTACCACTCAAATGTTTGGATGGTATGATTTTTTAAAATGCTTTTGAAATTAGTTTCGTTTGCTCATCAAGGATGCATTTATTTGGTCAAAAATACAGCAAAAACAATAATATTGTGAAATCTTATATTTTAAAATGTTATTTATTTCTGTGATGACAAAACTGAATTTTCAGCAGCCATTACTCCAATGTCTTCAATAGAACATGACCCTTCAGAAATATGCCGATTTGGTGCTTAGGAAATACTTCTTATTACTATCAAAATCAAACTTAGTTGTCCTGCTTTTTTGGGGAGAAATTTTTTTAGGATTCTTTGATGAATTAAAAAAAAAAAGATTTTAGCATTTATTTGAAATAAGTAGGGATGCACGATACTGGATTTTTGCCGATATCCGATGTGCCGATAATTTTCAACTCATTTTGGCCGATAGCCGATGTCGATACCGATATAGAATTATTTTTAATTTTGGTTTTTAACAAGAACTTATTTGTTAGAATTAAATAAACAATAATAAAGTTCCTTTATAATGACCGTACATTAAAAGATTTTGATTAATATATAGTTTATTTAGTTATTTTCAAATCTTCAGAGTTCATAATGTTTAAAAAATAACATATTACACATTTATGAATAAATCAGTATATATAAAATTATTTAATTTAAGTGTCATGTTTGTGATTTTTTTTGTTCTTGTAAGCTATAGCTTCTGACTTTTAAATCAAAACATACTCAAGATTTTATGGCATCAATTACTGCTTTATTTAATCACAATCAACAATACTACAGCGAGAATAAAAGTTATGCCTTCTTTCTTTGCGTGAACATTTGGGCAGCGTTATGCAAATCTTCCCACATCGTGACGTAGATATGTGGGGGCGTGTTAGAACGAGCCGTTTTAGGTAGGTGTGGCTGACTCATTCTGATTCTGACTCTTAACTTTTATAAAGAATATCTCTTTGGATTTGAGACTTTAGTCTTTGCAACTTTACAGGTCTTATTTATGCACCAAGAGTTTGTAACACTCCAAAGAGAAAGGAAAAATTGACATCGCATCATATGAACCCTTCAAATGCAGCGATCCAAAACAGTGAATCCAATCACCATTCAGGCAAAACTTTGCTTCAAGAATGAGCCACAATGCTGACATGATCTAATCGCACTGTTGACGTGATCTAATCGCTAGCACATGTGAGTTAATGTATTCCTCTTATCGGCAAGACATATCAGCATAATTTTTCATGCCAGGCCGATGCCGATATTTACATTTAAAGCCATTATAGGCCGATTCCGATATTGGTCCGATAATATCGTGCATCCCTAAATATAAGTATTTTGTAACAACCTAAAGGTCTATTGTCACTTTTTATCAATTTCATGTATTCCAATATAAATATAATTATTCATTAAAAAAAAAGGAAAACACAAATGTCAAAGTTGACTGGATAAGCCACTTTGATGAGGCTGTTAAAAAAAATACACACATGACAATAATTGCTTAATATTAGAATCAGATTTCTACATTAATGTGACAAGTTGATCTGCAACAAGCTTGCTGGTTTTAGAACAGCATGTGGTTGAATTTGTGTGCTGTACCTGGTTGTCAATCTTGATCTCTGTGAGCGTATCATTGTCCCGCAGAGCTTCTACCAGAACCTTAACTCCTGCGCCAGTGATAAAATTAGACTCCAGATTCAAACTTTTTAGCGTCTTATTCTCTCGTAGCATTTCTGAGAAGGCCTGCAGGGAACACAGAGAAACACACAAAGCTTTAACAGTGTAAAGAGAGCCACATCTCTTCCATATTTATCTTAGCTTTTGCGCTTCAAGCTGCCTTTCACTTTTAGTGAACACAGACAACCTACTTGACACTGACAAATCACCAGTAACCACAGTTACAAGTAATGACACTATCATCTACTATTTAGAATGGATTGTATTTAAAACTGCTTATACAACCATTTTCAGAGGTTTAACAAATGCTGCCTATTTGAAACCACCAGCAATGACAGAAAACAGCTGACTTTCATTTGGGAAAGAACACTTAAACGGAAGAATGGAAGAATCAATAAAAGAACCAATTCACTGTAGATGATTCAAGAATTTTCGAGATTCTTTGTTTTTTTTTGGACACTAAAAAGTACAGACCCACTTTATATTAAGTGGCCTTAACAACTATGTACTTACATTTAAATTAATAATTTGGTACAATGCACTTATTGTGTACATACATGCTTTTACATTGTACTTATATTTAAAAAATACCTGCATGTAATTACATCTGTAATTAATTTCTGTAATTACATTTATAATTACACAGTTGACCCATCCCTTACACCTTAACCCACCCTTAAACCTACCCATACCAACAAACCTGTCCCTAACCTTACCCGTATCCCACCTCAATAGCAGCAACAGTGTTTTGCAATACAATATGAACACAATAAGTACATTGTGCTTAATTTTTGATGTAAGTACATAGTAGTTAAGGCCACTTAATATAAAGTGGGGCCAAAAGCACAAATGCATCCCTAAAGGCAGCATTTGTTCAATCTCAAATGCTGAACACATGAACATCTGAAATGAATCATGTCCCTCACCACGGCAACAGGATCATTGCTCCTGGTGGCAGCCAGACTGAACTTCTTCACATGAGTGTTTCTCTCCATGGCTTTTGCAAAGTCCTTTAGAGTTGGGATTGGAATGTTCTGGAAGAAAAGAAAAGGGAAACATTAAAATCAGATTTGTTGTTGGACAATTAAACAGCTTCTGCATGTCACTAAACTCATTGTCATGGTCTTCATTCTGAGATTTTATAACATACTCTCCATTTTTTTATGAATTTGGAGTCATTTTAGGTCATATTTACATTTACATTTAGCAGACGCTTTTATTCAAAGCTACTTACAAATGAGGACAATGGAAGCAATCAAAATCAACAAGAGAGCAATGATATGCAAGTGCTATAACAAGTCTCAGTACACATAGCAAGGTTTTTTTTTAAATTATATAATAAATAAAAATAAAACAGATAGAATAGAAAAAGAATAGAGCAAGCTAGTGTTAGAGACATTTTTTTGCTTTTGTTCATTGCATAATAAATAAAAACAAAACAAATAAAGATTAGAGAAGCAAGTGGGTTTTTTTTTTTAAAAGAAAACAAGCAGTTAGTAAATGAATAGTGTAAGTCTAAAAGGTGAAAGTTTTTTTTTTTTTTTAAAGAACAGAATTAGAATAGAGTCATTTGAATTTATATAATCAAACAACACAGATCCCAGCGAGAGCCAAAAACAGATACCAGAAATAATTCATAATTTGAACGTTAAAAAGTAAAAATGGAGGGTTAGGAGCTTTCAGGAAAAAGACATTTACTCTAGTTCTGGTTTGTATGTCTGTTTATGGAATAGTAATTTCAGAACAAATATTTAAAAGATTTTTTAGAAGTTTTTAAGCAGCTAAAATGTTTTTTTTTTTAATTCCCATTATTCCTAGTTCCATTTCCAAAATTTCCAAAAAGACGTTATACATTCTTTGTCATTTAACATGTATTTTGTAATATTATAATAATAATATTTATTGTAATAATTAATCAAATATCAAAAGAGTCTGCGACCACTAGTGAAAACATTTTCATGTTTCACAAATCACCATAAATTGAGTGTTGTAGTAATTGGTGTGTCAACCTTTAGCTTTACTGAGCTGAACAAAACCTGATAATCATGTTCTCCAACATAATTTGAGAATGCTTCATAGAGCATCCTGTGCTTTAGTGGAACCAAGAAATTAGGCCGTCTGTACAAAGGAGTCACATGACCAATGTAACTAATTTAATTAGCGACACAGACATAATTCAAAATATAAATATATTTAAATTAAGTTTTTTGTTCAAAATAAATAAAATGAAATAGTGTATTTCCAGTGCCAAATTAGTTTTTTAATCCCATATTGTCAAATATCAGGCAGTATCAGAAGTTTAGACTAAACTGTATTTAGTAATATTTTGTTGGCAATATAAAATTAATAATCATCATAAATATCAAAATTACTTAAATGCACTTTTTCTTTGGCCATTAAATTTCATAGGGTTTGAGTGTACTAAACTGAATCTCATTACCTTTATGTTGTTGAGATTGACTTCAGTCAGTGAGGAATCATTGGACTTTATCCGCTGCAGAGTTTCCTCCACATTTGTAGGGTTTGGTGGCTCATCGAAAACTGGCTTCACCTTTTCTCCTTTAATAACATCTATGTCAGACACAACATTCACAAATGAGCTTCCACTGTGTCACGAATGCATGAGATGAAAACTCATTTACAGTATAAATTGATGTTCTGAAAGAAATAAGGAGCTGGAAAGACAACACAACTATGACATCTGCTGAAAGATGAAATCAACTTGAAGAATAATAAACTCACTGTTATAACCATCTGTACAGGTGCCGTCATAACTCTGCGAGCTCATCACTAGTGTGTTCACTCCAAGAATAGCTGGACAACACAACACAGAACTGTTACAATATACACAAAGTAGTATTTAAAAGCACCTCACGATTAGGGTGAAAACACCATGATAAGGTATAAAGTGCAGTAATTCACAGTGCACTTAAAAAAAATGCTGTTTAAAGCTTACGTGCAGCTTTTCACTACCATTTTCACTATATTGTTATGAGGGTTACAGCATAAAGCTATATTCACATTCCTGTGTTTCGGCACAGCTGACAAAAAACACATGAAATGAATAAAGCGTATCAGGGTTATAATGAAGCATGCTGTGAGGAAAACCAGCCAGGGACAATCTCTTAAAGCAACATGCTGAAAGAGGCGGTTTAGAGAGAGAGAGGACGTGCTTGCTGTTTTATTCAGGAGATGTGATGGATGCAGTGTGGGCGTTCAGACCCCCAGAGTCAAGGAGGGAAAAATTATTGCAGAGAGAGTAATAGAAAACACTAGAACAATAGATAGCACAGAGCTGTTCATTCAGGCTTAGAGCAATAAAACTAAACCTAGTGATATTAGCATTCTCTCTGTCTCTTGTTGATCTCCCATTACCACTCTGTTTGTGAGATTCTGTAGCTGTTTTTACCTGCCAGGTCATGCAGTTCTGTGTCAGTAGCACTAGAAAGTGCCTCTTCCAATTCCGGGTCAAGGGTCGTGGCTTGCTCCTGATGGATCTCAATTGGTTTCTGCTTGGGAATCCATTCCTTTCCTGTAGAATGAAAAGACAAAAATGACTGCGTAAATGGTGAGTTAACAAACGGGAATAAACCTTTATAAGGAATTTGTTTCTATAAGGAAACATGTATGATTAGATTAAGGTTTTCATGACTTTAAAAATAACATTGTCTCTCAATTAATACAATTTTAAAAAATACCATTTAAAAGAGTTTTGCATTTCATGTCGCAGGACATGGTGAGGTATTAAGTTATTTTGACACATTTTTTCAAACAGTTAGACTCTCTTTTGCCATCTTCCACACAAATATATTTAACCTAAAACCTACAAGATTTAACCTAGATTAGCATTCAAAAGTGTCAGGTCAGAAAGGTTTATTTTATTTTTTTAAATATGGCTTTGAAAAGTCTCTTATGCTCACCAAGGATGCATTTATTTTATGAAAAATACAGTAAAAACAGTACTATTGCAAAATATTATTACATCAATAAATAGTAAATATAACTCATTCCAGCAACGGCAAATCTGAATTTTCAACAACCATTACTTCAGTGTTACATATTCCTTCAAAAATCATTCTAATATGCTGAACTGATGCTGAAGAAACACTTACTATTAGTATCAATATTGAAAACGGTTGTACTGCTTAATGTTTTTATGGGAACTGAAGTTCCTTGATGAATAGAAAGTTCAATACAACAGCATTTATTAAAATATTTTTTTCATAATGTAAAAGTCTTGATCAATTTAATGTATCCTTGCTAAATAATAATAATAATAAAAAAATATTTTAAAAACACATGGAAGTATCATATGGAAATGTCACTGCAAGAATGAATAAATCAAAATGGAACCAACATAAAAGCTTGATTGTTCTTTTCTGCCCAGCCAAATGATGAAAACACGAGAAAAGTGAATAGTCCTTTACTTCACTGTAAACTGTCAAAATACTACAGTGCTGTTGAAGACCTCAGCATAGAGAGAGGGGTAGTGGTCAGACATGATGTCCAGCTGTATGAATGGCTGGTGTTTATGAACTCGACACACAGATAATGTGCACAGCAGGCCCATCATGATAACAGCTCACCGCTTGACCTCATCTAGACTCCTATGCTATCGGACTCTCTGTGACGCTGATAATGAGGTCGGTAATATGATGCTGGTCTTGTGACGAGCTCATTCTCTCTGGACAGTGAACAACACATTCTACAGCTTTATTCAGGACATGTGACTGCTGATCTCTCTCATACTGAGTTGGTGTGAAGGGAAGGAGAAGAGATGTTCTGCTATAGCCTGAAAGCACTCAGTTCTTCTGTTTCAGTAAAACCTAATAAATGTCACAATTTGAATTGAATGTTTCACAAAGAATAAAAAGACTACCAGAAAGTAATTAATGTCCATCAAGATTTGTGCTGCTCCTCAGCCCATTAGAAGCAAATATGGAACATTCCAACTCATGCTGGATATTGAGAGACATATAAAGATGAAGATTCTGTCGTCATTCAGCCTCACGTTGTTCCAAACATGTATCATTTCTTTCTTCCAAGGAAAACAAAAGGGATGTTCTGCAACAGTCGGGTTTTGGAAGTAAAAATCCCACTCATTTTCTTCATAAGGTAATTGATTTTGAATGGTAACTTTAAAGACAGACCTACTATACTGTGAGCTATGAGGATGCTGATCAATCGTAAATGCTTTTGTTGAACCCGAAAGTGCACATTATTTTAAAATTACTTTTTAACATAGAAATTCCTGGTAAATCACTACATTACCCATGATTTTGCAGAGAAATCTCCACCAATCATAGAATTGCAATCAGACAAACTGCAAGTAAACCTTGCCAAAAGAACACTTTGGACCGACTCCCATGCATTTTTACTGCATATTCTTGTATTCTTGAAGTCTTGTATCTTCGTCTTTTTGTCCAATTTTCAAATCATTTCTTGCTTCAAATCAAAGTTTGTAATGTTTTGGTTTGCCTCGTAGGTGTTTGGTTTCGTTAATGACTCAAAAATACTTTATTTTTTTAATCCCTATTAGGAAAATAAATGGGAAAAATCCTTCCAGAACCAATGCCACTGAAAAAGTAAACACGCACCGTTGAACTCTAAAATAGTATACGGTTTGGCAGTTGGCACATCTAATGTATAGGCCTGAACCGAAATAACCATTTACTCCGTATTCATACGCAGCTTGCTTTTTTCACACTGGTCGCCAACAGCACGTCACTCAGACCTGTGAGGTTTTTTAAACACAGCAGTTTAGATAGACTTCACTCCGCTGATGTCAAACACATGATTAGTTTGTCTTATCCTAATCCTGCAATTTTACCACATTTTGGTAGGCACAACACAGGTTACGGTTTAGTTTTTAACCTGCCACACTAGAGTTCCTAACTGGGGCTGAGGTTCTAAGAACTTTCTCACTCCTCTGGACGCAAGAAGAGGCTTTGTGTTTGAGGTGTGGCTGAATTCCAAACACATGTTATCAGTGCAAAAAATGAATGTGAACCAGGAAGAAGAAAAAAAAAAAACATTGTTTGCAGAAAACGATTCGCAGAGCCACTGATGTGGAAAGCAGAGACTGCTGTGTTTCAAAGAGAGTATATTTGTCATAAATAGATGAATATTCACATGTGTTTAGAGGATATCTATATACTGCCCATACACACACAGTCTTCAATGACAATTAAATATTTAATAAAACACATTAATTTCCACTGACAGATCAATAAATATTTTTAAAGTTTCATATGTACAACACACACAAAGTTAATGTATTCAATACATTGCGATTAAAATGAAAAACATGAGTTAAAACAGTACAAACGTGTTCTTATGCAACAGAAACCTAAAAAAAAAAAAAAAGCACTTAAGTGAAAACAGCAGGAATGATGCCGGTCAGATCACCCCTCAACTATTTTAACACGGTTAGTGCGTTGATATACAGCGCAACTGTGCTCACGGCGACCCGAGTTCGATTCCCGTCTCGATTACAGGAATAAATTACATTTTAAAACGCAAAGTAATAATATGTCACAATATTTATTTTTACTGTATTTTTACTTAAAGAAATGTAGCCTTGGAGACGTCTTTGGAAGGGGAAAGAAGAAAAAAAACACTTTAAACTATGGCTAGGCGATATGGCCAAATAAATTACAACAATAAAATGTTTCATATCAGCCGACATCGACTGTGGTTTTAAACTACTCTGTATGGTCAGAACATAACAAACACTTTAAACTTTTTTAATTCTTTAAACTTTTCCAGTCATTTTTTACTTAAAACAAATATCTAAATAGAAAAATGAATTTCTTAGTTTCTGCATGTTCTAATGAGTGAGCCTCATTTATATGGTGAAATTTAATTATTTTGACTGTTTGAGTTTTATTAAAAATTAACCACTGGTCTTCCATAGCATGCATTTAGATCATGATAACCACAGTTAAAAGTAAAACCACACATATAGTACCTCAATACCATGGTAAAAATTTAACTACATATTTTTTAGGTATTTGTACATTAATAACATAATAAAATTCCATATATACCACATTTCTGCCACAATACCATGGTGCAGTTAGTGTTACTACAGTTAATCCATGGTAAATTATGGCGATTTGTAGATTTAAAATCCTTCTGACTGTATCGTTGACACAGTGTTTCTCCTGTTTATCAGGGCTGTTTCATCTGGCTTTAAACACTGAGACATTTGTGTTTTTCGCTGAATTCAAGCACTTCACACTGGATCTCACAGTGCTGTTTAGTAAATGCATGAGTAAATGCATCCGAGTAAACAAATCTGCTCTAGTAGGAGTCGAGCGGATAAATGCTCCTTGTCGAGCGGTTCAAATGAGCAGAGCTTTTTCGTTCCGTTTTAGCCACATAAACATTATATCGAACTCTTGTTATCATTTTGAGGAAAATTCTATTCCAATAATTACTGTTTTACTGCCCTACTTTAAACAGCTTTTAAAAACCACAAACTTTTAAACAGTAGTGTATAGGACAATGACAGAGCATATTTGATGATGCAATTATAAATGCAAATGTAATGCAAGAGCCAAAGTGAAAGTAATAGAGAACAATCTTTAATGCATTGGCTGCTCAAACCTGCAAGTTTCACATCAAAAACCACTTATCAGATAATTATAACTTAAATCCACACCACAATTTTTTTTACTTCGATTTGGGGTTTGTTCCATTTCCACAATGACAGAAACTGAACAGAAATCTGATTCTGAAGGGCAGATATGAACAGAGCATTTCTGTGCTGGATCTGAAGGAGCATCTTTGTTAAGCAGACCTCACACTGAGAAAAGAGGGAACACTTTATTCAAGCCCTTTATTTAGTGGTTGTTTTTAGTTCTCTTCACGTAAACCACTGTGGTACATTGAAAAGCCTGTAGCACAAAACCAGTCAGAACTAGAAGAGAGGAGCTCGGCCCATCACAGTGTGTCTCTTGGGCTCAGCTGAGCCACTGAGCTGATCTTGGCTGACCTCCATCTCCCTAACTACTTCCTGTCCTTTCACAACCCCATCACGGAGTCCTCCCCACAGACGAGTCTTTCTGCTCAGGCGGTCATAGCCAGCCGCACTCTAAAGGCCCTCAGCAGCACAGCAGAGGAAATCAGAGAGAAGACACATGGGCATCAACAAATCCATGGAGTCAAGTTTTCCATTGCACTCACATTATAACAGTTCTGGCCACTGAGGTGTATCAAAAGATGCCTCAGCAACAAACTCTTATTGTGTCATGTGCACCAGCCCTGACTGTATTACCGTAGAAACATACAGTATAAAGAAAGAGATACGCAGCACAAGGCAGAGATGCATATCTCTCAAATTCTCTCTCTGTCGCTAAGGGACATTTAAACTTCTTCCCAGAGGAATACCAGCACTTCCGGTTTCTTGATTTGTTTTCAGACGTTGAGAATGAACAAATGTTCTCAAAGTCCAGCCTTGCAAATCCAAAACCAGAAGTTGTCAACACTTGAGAGTCAGTAATACAAAAATAATAAATACTACATTTA